ATATTATACAGTGCAATTTGGACAGCCTAACCCCAAAATATATAGTATATATATAAATAAAAACTATAAAAGTATAAATCGTAAATATTAAAAATATTTTTTCACAATATATATATATAATATATAATAATATAATTAAGTCAAAAACTATTCAATATTGGACTCATTTCGTAGGTATTAACGAGATGATTATAATGGTGTAACTTATTAAAATAAAAATGTATTCTTTAAACATGTTTTAATTGATATACGATTATGTATGTTAATTTGATAAAGATTTAAAATGAAACATTTAAAAGTAAAGGACCTAAAATAAATTAATTAACTAATTATAGGAATATAAAGTATAAATTTAAAATTATAATTTTAAAGGGGTTGATATCCTCACCCCCTTACGTCACTTATTCACCCTCTCCCTCTCACATTCAACTAGGGGTGAGCAGCGGAACCGGGTACCCGGCTATGGAACCGGAACTGTCTTGGAACCGCCGGTTTCGGAACCGGAACCGATATGAGTGGTTCCGGTTCCTAAAATACGGAACCGATTGAGAATGGTTCCGGTTCCGGTTCTCAATTTTTTGTAACCGTTACCCGCCGGGTACCCGGTATTTTTAAATAAAAAATTTATTATTATTTTTTAATACCAAATTTATATTAGGTTTACATCTTGAAAGCACGCCGTCATCTTCATTCTTCATCTAAATTCTTCATATAGAATGATTCGTATTTTTTTAAATTGTGTGTTCACTTGGATTCATAATATGTAATCGTTAAACTTTGAAAATTTACCATTATAATATGTAATCGTTAAACTTTGAACATTTTATATTAGTCTATTGTGGTTTGTAATTGTTAAACAATATTTGTAACCATTATTATATATAATTTGTATTATTGCTTATTTATTTAGTGTTTTGGCAATGTTTTATTTTTTATTTCTAAATAACAAAATTTTAATATTTTAGGAAGCGGGTACCCGGAACAGGAACAGGAACCGGTTCCCGGCGGTTCCGGTTCCGGTTCCAAAAATTTAAGAACCGCTCTAACCGGTTCCGGTTCCAGTTCCAATATCTCAAAAACCGCCGGCTCCGGTTCCGGTTCCGATTCCGATTCCTGTCAAAAAGGGTGGGTACCCGCCTATGTTCACCCCTACATTCAACCTCTCTCACATTCGATCAATTTGTTGAATATTATAATTTTAAATTACACTTCATACCCCTGTAATTATTTAATTAATTTACTTTATACTCTTTACTTTTAAATTTTTCATTTTGCACATTTATTAAATTAACATACATAATCGTATATCAACTAAAACATATTTAAAAAATACCTTTTTATTTTAACAAGTTATACCATTATAATCGTCTCGTTAATACCTTCGAAATGAGTTCAATATTGAATAGTTTTTGAGTTAATTATATTATTATATATTATATACACTGTGAAAAATCGTCAATCTCTTCGAAATAAACATAATAATGAATATTATTTGATTTAATTATATTACTATAATCGTATTTTAACAAAAATCCGTTAAAAATATGTTTTTATTTTAATAAGTTACATCATTGTAATCGTCTCGTCAATAACTTCAAAATGAACCAAATATTGAACATCGTTTTATTTAATTATGGAACTGTAATTATATAAATATCACAAGGGTATAAAATAAAAATAAAAAAGTAAATAAATATAATAAATTTTTATAAAGATATAAAGTATAAATATTGAAAAAAATTCATATACAAATATATAATTTAAAAATTACATATTTTTAATATTTAATTAATTAATAACTATATATAGTTAATTAATATATATAATTATGGTATATAGATAAAAAACCTGGAGGATATAATAGGAAAATATTTAAAAAGTTGAAGGATTAAAACTAAAAATATTAAAGGGTTAAAATTGAAAAATAAAATAAATAAATTTTAATTATTTTATTATTTCATATATGTGGGGGTATAGAAAGAGTAGGGGAAAGAAATAGGAGGGGGTGGCTTTAGAATACCCTTTTTAAAAAAATGAGTGTATGTGAGCAGAGAAGGGGGTGAAAAAATAGTATAAAGAGTATCTTAGTTATTTAGTATTTTAAGACTTTAAGACTTAAGACTTGATAAATAAATAACTATAAAAGTATAAATCGTAAATATTAAAAATATTTTTTCACAATTTATATAATATATAATAATATAATTAAGTCAAAAACTATTCAATATTAGACTCATTTCGAAGGTATTAACGAGATGATTATAATGGTGTAACTTGTTAAAATAAAAATGTATTTTTTAAACATGTTTTAATTGATATACGATTATGTATGTTAATTTGATAAAGATTTAAAATGAAACATTTAAAAGTAAAAGACGTAAAATAAATTAATTAACTAATTATAGGGCTATAAAGTGTAAAACCAAATAGATCTACCAAATTCTTTTTTACTTTTGTGTCGCGAGTTTTAGATAAACTTTGTGTTCCTGTGAACCCTAATTAGGTTCTTTCTGCCGGATCAACTCATTTCAATTGTTGGCAGAAACCTCAAATTTCAGGTATTTCTTTCTGCCGATCCGATTCTATAAGCTGTTGTTCCTTCTATGGCAAATTGTCGTCTTAATTTTTCTTCTAATGGACACGTGTTTGAAGAATGCGATATAATGGGACTCTATGACTCCTTTTCAGCTGAGTTTGAAGTTAATTGGTTGGTAAATTAATGTTTATCATGTCTTGGCAGTTGATGATCATGCTCTTATACGGGTTTTATTTAGTTTAAAAGGTATTGAATTTGTGTTGAATAGAAGATGCTCATTACTTTTGGCTTTACAACTTTAACCAATGACCTTCTGAGAATCTTTGAAGTTTGAAGTGTTTTTTATTTATAGTTCTATGACGTTTTGCTTACTGTCAATTCCAATTTAGCACTATAATCCCCAATTTTCTGTATGCCTTCCTCCCCAAATGCAATTTGAGACAGTTTGCTACGTCCAACAACTTAGGGTTAAGTTTGTGCCATGTCATAGCAAAAGCCTCACAGGAAATAACCTAAAGCTGTTGCACATCACAAATTGCCACATATGCATTTGGGATGAACAACAAAGAAAATTGGGATTCTAGGCTAAAATGGAAACGGGAAGCATCATAGAACAATAAATAAGAAACACTTCAAACTTCAAAGATTCTCAGAAGATGATAAACTTGTAAAGCCAAAAAGTAATGAATCATCTTCTATTCAAGAACATTCACAAATTCAATAGCGCTTTAAACTAACCAAAACCCATGTAAGATCATGAACGTCTTCGCCAAGGCCTAATAAACATCCATTTACCAACCAAATAACTCCGCCCATGTGCATTGATACATGCACTTTCCGCACTGGGAAACATGTAAAGAATTTGCCTATTCATCATATTTTTATGGGGAGGAGAGTCCATAATGAGTTACTCGCAATTGAGGTTGTGTTATGCTTGAAATATGTAATGATGTATTTTTTATGTAATTTATGTATATTTTAGTATGTTCCTCTAATACAGTTCATCCGTTCTTCAGGAAAAACCCATTGCTTTTACAGTTTTAAACATCCGAATGGGACTTTGCTTCTCTTCAGTGAGTTTTCTTTTGTTTCAAAGAATGGGATACTTGTCTCTACAATTTGTTTCCATTTATAATTGGATGCAATTCTTCTTCTTGTCAGTTACAAAACTTTGACCTTTTACCCAAGTTTTTGATACCTCTAGATGGATGGATGTTATTAGCAGTAAGAGTGTTTTTCATTTCATTACATTATGCTATGTATGCAAACACAAACTAGGTAAGAGCTTACTGGATAAAAGTCACTATCTTCACTTACCTTACCGAGTAAGATTCTAGGTCAGCAAAATAACATTGTTAGCAAAGACCATCATCTCTAACCGGGTAAGCGTCTCTTACCCAGTAAGAGGTAATAAGTGTTAGTTATAAGGTAAGAGGCAGTAAGTGTTTAGTAAATAACCCCAAAGCCCGCTTCTAGAGTTGTGGACATTTAGTGATCTTTATGGTATGGCATATTAGTTAATTTAGACATACTATTTCATGAGTTATGGTTTTTGGAAAATTTCTAATACAATTTGATAACTAGTTGCTATGTTGAATGAATAAGCTTTACAAGAGGACCTGGCTATGTTGAATGAATAGAGGCTAGTTGATGATGATCCGCTTCCATGATTGTGAGGTAGAGTGTATCTATGAGATCATTTAAGATTAATGTTGTGAAAATACCGAAACTTATAAGTGACACACAAACCTATAAATTTTGATCCGAGAGATTAATGCAAAAAATGAACTAATTAGATGGTGAACAAAGAATTGAATGTGGTGGAGGGTAGGGTTATCTTTCTTCATGTGCTTAGAGCATATAATTTCCTCCGCTTATGCCTATTAACCTCTCCCAACTAGTCCGAGACAAAGTTTTATAGAGTCAAAATGAAAAAAAAATCTTCTGTAAACAAACCAAACCAAACAAACCCAGTATGTTCCACCCTGAGGTGGGGTCTGAGGAGGGTGGGATGTACGTAGATCTAACCTATACCCCGAAGAGTAGAGCAGCTATTTCCATGAAGACTCTCGGCTTGTGCAAGATGTGCGAAATGAAAAGATAAAACTTGCTCAAAGAATATTGAAATAGAAAAAGAGAAACATGAAAAAAGAAAGGCAATGCTAAAAATTGAAAAAGAGTGAGAAATAAGCAACTACATTCAACGAGGCATATAAATAAACAAACAAAGAAAACACCCAAATAGAAACATGTACAAGGAAACATAACCAAGATAGGAAGAGCGACACACCTTAGCCTAACTCAGGAGATCTAACTGCCGACCCACTAACCCTACTAAACTATGCTCATCCTTTACCTTTCCAGATCCCTTCCCCGTGTCTAGGATAGGTACAGTTTCTCACCGCTAGTCAACTACCCTAATCTTGTGTCTCCAAGAACTCCTATCTGAGCTCATGGCCTTGGACTTTATTTTCTAAATAAAGTTTCCATTTTGTGGGTTTTCTTGGCCTTTGGTTAGGATCTAGTGTCTCATTTTTCATCGTCATGTAACTACAATAGTCACACCTTTCATCAAAGCTTACAAACTAAAATCTTATATGTTCAGATAGGTAAACTTAAGTTTCTTCTCTTTACAGTAAGAAATAAAGAGCATTTTCATTGGTTTCTCTCTTTCTCCCATTTTCAAGAGCAATATCGTGTATAAGAACTCACAAACCACTATACATGAAGAACTGGGGATTTGGTGTATCAAATCTTTCATCAAGAAAAGGATTGCACATATTTTAGCTCTTTTTATGTACTGCTGGAGTATGACATTATTCCTCTCTGGTTTTGGTGGAAGAAAAATGTGAGTGTACCCTTTTTTACTTTCTTAAGGAAATCATGAATGCCCGATGTGAAAAATCAAGCTTTAGTGCTTGCTTGAATTGATATGTTGCATTTTATAGACTCCTCTTCTCGCGTAATGTGTTTAGTATGCAAACGGGACAGACTGGACCGAACGAGCGAAAGTGAGGTAGGCGGGTGATAGAATTGTGCAAGGTTTTAGGGTTTAAATTTGACATGTGTAGTTTAGTAGTTTATCAAGCATGTCTCATCTCCCTGAATTTGCTCCTCCAATTTTGGTGGAACAAAACAGATGCATTTTTTGTCCCACTTGGTCATGTCCTGTCCCAGCCTAAATGTCGATGCAAACATAGTACACCCAGTTTTTGTTCTGTCATGCCTCACGTACCAAACGCACTGAAGTCCTAGACTTTCTATAAGGATATAGAAAACTAAGTTTGCAAAGGACAGAAGCTGATAGGAATGTTCCAGAGTCCTAGACTTTCCATTTCGAAGTCATTTTGAAATCTTTTTGGTGTGACCAAGGTGAAATATAGATAATTCCAAGTTACCTTTGAACCATAGAAGTTTGCTGAAACGTTATACACACGTTTGTTGTCTTTTCATGTTAGTATGTTACGTCAAGCGTACATGAAATGAGGTATCTACAAGCTCTTTTCATTTTAAAGTTGTATGGAAAATGTGAAGGTAGAAATTCAAAAGCATGTTTCCACGGTGCGTCTGTGGTACACAGAACATGACAAAACAAAAACTTGTTCTCTCACGTTTGGTATGACATTTAGACTGGGACATGATGGGACTGAGTGGGACAAATGCATTTTCTTGTAGAACAAAAATCAATGAGATAGGATAAGATTGGTAAATTACTAAATTACCCATGTCAAATTAAAACCCTTCACAATTCTTTCACCCGTTTACCATACTCTCGCCCATTCCATTTTGTCTTGTATTAAAAACTCTTCCATTCCGTCAGTTTAACTTTGTACTGCACAACTATTGTGATGAGTTTAGAGGGGTGTAAATGAGTATATAAGCAAGATTTTAAAAAGCGGAATCGGGCCTCGAGATGTTTTCCATGCGGAAACTAAAAAGTAAATAAAAATATTTATATATATGTACTACATACTTAATAATAATATATAAAATCATCATTAATAGTCTGAAAATTATTTTAATATATAAATGTTTTATTATTTAGTTTTTGTTAACAAGTAGTTAAAATCACACGTATCAAGAGAGAATTAAGGTTACATTTAAATAGAGAACTAAAATCACCTATAAAAAACGTCAAGATGGTAGAAGAGAGGGAGAAGGAGCAGCAAGCCACGACACGACAAGTGGAGGGTGAATGAACTAAAGGATAAAGTAAGTTAGCTTAGCCCCAAGTCAATTTTGGAACTCTAGTTTCTAACCCACGCCTCATTCTCGCCTCCCCACCTCAAGCGATTCAAGGCCTGCCTCAGATGGCCTGAGGCGTAGGTTTCATTTGGTTCACTTGAGGTGGCGCCTCATATTGGAATAAACGATTTTGAAAACCATGGATATAAGAGTAATATTTGATGCTTAAAGGCATTACTAAGCATATGTAGATGCTGCCACCATCACATACAAATGGTCACCAATTCGATTTATCATCCTTCATGGTATCCATTTCCTGTGAGTCGTAATCTATTGCACACTTTCCCTACAAACCCTTATAAAAAATTGAAAATCAAATCATTTTTGAATAAGTATGACCTTTAAGCCCGCTCCTTTGTTGATTTATGGAGATGTCATATCCCCAAACCTACCAGAAAAGGAACAATCCATCATCAAATTGTCCTATATGGTGGTTGATATCAAATATTACAAGTAACAAAATTTTCAATTCTTATCCAATTGCAATGCTCGACCTAACATCCTTTGCTACAATCCCACCGTAGATCTATGAGATTCAGGTTGTAGAAGCTGGGTAAGCGTTGACCGGGTAAGAGTCATCGCCCTCACTTACCTCACCATGTAAGATTGTTGGTCATCAAATGGGCATAGTAAGATTGTTGGTAAACACCATCATTTGTGACCGGTAAGCGTCTCTTGGGGGCTGCTTGTTTAACTCTAAATAGTTCCATTAAGAGGCAGCTTCTGAATGGCTAAGAGGTGAATCTTGTTTGGCAAAAAAAAGTCTGCTTATTAATTGTTCTAAAACCCTCTGAATAATCTTGTATCTTGAGCCCTTCCTAAACCATTCGGTGCCCTAATTTCATTCTGAACAATTACCAAACAACCATATTTCATTTTGCATTATATCATAAGAGCCCCTTATTAATTCTGACCACTTAATCATCATGCACTAAGTCATTCAGCAACTGCCAAACAGTCTCTTACCCGGTAAGCGTTGACCCGGGGAAATAGCAAAATATCATAGTAAGCCCTTACTGGATAAGAGGTTGTAAGTGTTTAGTTACCCTCACTACAAAAAAAATGGTTTTATAGGACTCTTAAAATGTCTAAGCATTCTAATAGAATACTTTATAGGCCTTAAGTTTATAGGACCAAACTATAAGTCATCCCATCTAAAAGTGTTCCATAGGTTTATTGGACGCTTGGGTGTTTTAACTAGTTTTTTAGGACGCTTTTAGCATAAAGTGTCATGTTAGCTATTTTTTAGGATACTTTAGAGAAATGTTCTATAAACCCATCTTCTTATAGGACAATTTTTCAAATAGTGTCATATAAAATAACTAATATGACACTTTATTTTAAGGGAGTTCTAAAAAACTTGTAAAAATGCCCAAAAACGTCTTATAAACCTATTGTAAACACTTATAGATAGGACGCTTTTTCGTTTTGTAATATAAAATAAGTCCTATTAAAGCATTTTATTAGAACGCTTAGTAAAAAGCCCCTTAGTTGCTTTTTTGTTTTGGCCATTAGCATTATCGTTTTTGTGGTCCCATTTATATGGTGTGAGAAGGGAAGATGTGGTTTTGGGTCCCATCTACTTGGTGTAAATCTAAACAAAGATGGGACCCACATAAAGGAGAATGCAGGATGGTATTAACAAATAGAGTTCCATAATGCTTAATCCCTTGTGGCGATGGGCTTTCACCAATGATGACTCGAGGCCATTCGTGGTCACCTGGGGGGTTAATCGGTGTACACTGGCCCAGATAACCACGGTTACCCAAAAAATAAAAATTACACTTGATGATGTCAACCTCATATATCTTGTGCTAATGTGTTTTCAATTGACCATGGAATTTGATGATATTCATATTTGTAGACTCCAAAAGAAGAAGATGAGCCTGACCATCATGCGCAATTTGTGGGAGGTAATGTGAATCTCATCACTACCAAGGATGCTTGGGACAAAAAGCTATCGGAAGCAAAGACGCAAGGCAAAATAGTAAGCTATTAACCATATATATTGTTACACTTCTACCAATGTTTGGTATGCAAGCCAGGATGGGGCACAACAAAAACTTGTCCACGTTTGGTGCGATATTAGGCGGGAGACAAAAATCAGGGAGATGAGACAAGATTAGTAAATTACTAAACTAACCATGTCAAATTAAAACCTTAAAACCTTTACAATTTTTTCACCCGCCTACCTTACTCTCACGTGCCCAATCCTATCAGCATGCCAAACGCACACAATGAACTACAATGGCATACATACCATGGTTTCTCGAAGAAGTTTGTGCTACATCTATGTAGAATTCATATTTGTATATTATCTTTATGCCATAGACATCTGTTTTGTATTTTTGATATCTTTTTTTTGAAGTAGATAATATTATTTTTGATATCTTATGTCGCATTGATTGTTTTATTTTGTATGTTTAACAGGTGATTGCCAACTTTAGTGCAACTTGGTGTGATCCTTGCAAATCAGTTGCACCATATTACGTTGAGCTTTCAGAGAAGCATCCTTCTCTTATGTTTCTTACCATAGACGTTGATGAATTAACGGTAAGTTGCATCATTTATATGCCTATGGAGAAATTATACCAACGCCCTTTTGACTTTCAAAGTCAAAGAGCAGCTTAGCAATATCCGGGTTACTGGTAGAGCTTAGCCTCCCAGGAGATCTTGCGTATTTATAGGTCAATAGGGATAAGGGTTTAGGAGGAAAAATTGAGTCTAGTCTCGTGGGAGATCACACTTGCTTCTCGAATTGTAGGCACTATTCATGTTATTTTGTTTCGTTCATTGATGAATAATATAAGAGTTTATCTATTTGTTGCGTTCTTATCATATATTCATTGGTGAATATTAATGCTGAAACCCGTATGAAAAAAAGTCACTTTGAAATTATGAACACTATGCATAGTGGTTATGTTGTACCTCCAGTTTCCATGATGAAATTGAAATAAATGTTAAATGCAGGATTTTAGTAAGCAATGGGAAGTAAAAGCTACGCCAACGTTCTTCTTCCTTAGAGACGGACAACAAATAGATAAACTTGTGGGAGCCAACAAGCATGAACTGGAAAAGAAGATAACCAATATACTCGAGGATTCGAATACAACTCATCACTAGCTGCCTTGCCCTGCCCGGCTGGTTCGGGTTATAATTTGGTCAACGGTTGGTTATGTATTTAATCATGTATAGAAATTTCGGTGGGTGAGTGTTGTGTGTATGCGAATGTAATGTTTGTAAAGCTTATAAACACCTTGTTCTATGTTTACCAAAAAGAAAGTTTCTCAACATATTCTTCTGCTTAATTCAAATGTTGTGGTCTCTCTTTCTTTATTGCATGCTAAAATATACATATACACAAACATGACGTGTATATATATATATATATATATATAGAGAGAGAGAGAGAGAGAGAGAGAGAGAAACGTGTTCAAATGAGAAGGCAGTCAACTTGTGAGAAGGTTGCGACTTTAGAGCAAAATCATATGTGACACAAACACATTACGTTGACCGGCTGTGGCTCAGGCGAGTTTTCACATGATCTTGGTTGCATTGACTGGTTGCAGCCCACGTCATGTTGGATATGTATCACATGTGATTTTACTCTAGAATCACATGTGATTTGGGCCTTCTCATGGACTTCTTGCTTGATCAACACCCCCCCCCCCCACCCCCCAATATCTCTCTCTATATATATGTGTGTATATAAACTTTTATGCATGATTTTGGAGGATTGTTTGTGTTTTCCTTGTTTTATATGTTTTATTATTGCTTGTTTTTTTTCAAACTTACTAGTTACAAGTCCTGGTTCTTTTCATTTGTATTGTTGCATAACTTGGATGGAAACAATTGTACTATCTTTTAGGATAGAGTATGGGTTTATTTATATCCCACTCTCCACACTCTATATCCCACTCTCCACACTCTGCTCTCAAGGGGAATATACTTGTTCTGTCTGGTTTGGTTTTAATTGAAAGATGCAACAACCAGTTTTTTAGTGGGACAACTCATAATGTTCATATTGATCTATTAAGTGCTTTTGCTTTATCACTCGGTAGACCTTATACAATAACTGTCTTAGCTCTTTATCAGTATCTTCTATTTCATTCCTTGTGCAATAATCACACACATTTCTTTGATTATTAATCTACTATGAGAAATTCAATACGTAATCTCAACATTTAATGTGTATTTTTAAATAACAAATTTTTGAATAAAAAATACCGGATTAATTTGGTTTAAAAGGTTGCATGAAAGGCTAGGAATACCCTTTGATTGACATGGGATTGAGGTTCAACAAAATGAAAACATTCTAAAAGTTTTATTCATACTTTTAAAAACTTCTAAAAATGAGACGAGAATAAAGCAAATTTAAACAATTGAAGTTTAGGGGGCGAAAGTGACATTTTTTTGAAGTTGAGAGATTTTTTTTGTAAATTATCCATCGGTAATCATTAGTGATAGTAGAGATGACATAAGAATTGACTGAAAAAATCAGGACCGGTTAGGGTTAAGCTAGTTTGAGTTGAAGGAAGATTCTTATGTCAATTGATGCATAAAGCTTGTGTATTGGGTTTAGCAAAGAAAATTCAAGTCGTTAGATAGTTGATGGTTGACCGGGTCAAATGCAAGAATGGTCTGAATATTTACCGGCAAAAATCGTATTTGGACTTGGGCTTTGGGTTGTATGCATTGGGTCCGGGCTTGACCGAGTGTAATGGCTCGTAACTTTAGAAAAAACCAAATTTTACGGTTTGAATGACTCTAGTTTTTCAATGTAAATGTTACAAAATTTCATGTACAACAAATCGATGTCTTGATCATAATTTTAAAAGCTCTTGCTAAGTTAATTTCTCTTACCAATTTCAGTGATGATCGTTCTATTTAAAGTAATTTAAAAAACATAACACTCGTCCAAAGATGTATTTAAGTCACTTGTATTCTGAATAGTTAAATTCATATTCACATTGATTTGTGTAAGATCTATTTCTCAGTAAAAATGGAGTACAGTTGAATGAATCACGCTAAACGTTGTTGTTTGTAACTCATATTCAACCTATTACATTTATGCATTATTTGGTTCTGGGAACCAACAAACTGAGACAAACAACTTTAGGGTACCAATGTTTGTAATACACAAGGTAGTACCATTGTGTATAAAAGCTATATATGTAACATCTCGCTTGAGCAAACCTCAAATTATCAATTTTTATAAAATCTCCAATAAAATATAATTTATTGATTGTTAGGACCAAAAATTTATCCTAATTATTCTAAAAGTTTTATCAAAGCAATCGGCGCCAAGGATGGAAAATCAGAAGATGCTGCTGAAACGACTAAGTCTGGAGGAAGACCAGAGCCCCTATGGCGGACCAGAGGCAGGCGATGGACCAGAGGCTGTTGAAACGACTAAGTCTGGAAGAAGACCAGAGCCCCTATGGACCAGAGGCGATGAAATGAACCAGAGGCAGGCGATGGACCAGAGGCTGCTGAAACGACTAAGTGTGGAAGAAGACCAGAGGCGATGAAAACGGTCCAGAGGCGATGAAATGGTCTAGAGGCAGGCGATGGACCAGAGGCTGCTGAAATGACTAAGTCTGGAAGAAGTCCAGAGGCGATGAATTGGTCCAGAGGCAGGCGATGGACCAGAGGCTGCTGAAATGACTAAGTCTGGAAGAAGACCAAAGGCGATGAAAATGGACCAGAGGCTGCCGATGAAATGGTCCAGAGGCACCTGATGAAATGGCAACACTTTGAAACACACAGATCTGGGATTATTTTTAATTAACCTCAAAATACGGGATATTAATTTTCTAAAAAAAAGACTTCGAAATATCCGTTCGTTTTTAGTGATAAAACCACCCAAAACACAATTCCAAACCGGATATAACGGATTTTTACTTACAACCCGAATTAAGTAGCAAAAGAATACGGGACATATTTATAACCGGAACAAGACTATATATAAGCTATACTTACTACATCTATGAGATACCGTAATAAGCTACTATTTACCCAAAAGCAAGATCGTAATCTTCAAGTTCCCCGGTAAATCTTCATTCAAACAACAGATTCTTTCTTTTTGTCCGACTTATTTCCTGAGAGGGGTTGCCACTTAAACGGTAAGCCAACGCTTAGTGAGTTAGATAGTTAAGTATTACATATCAATATCACACATGTTTATAAACATACATAATAAACTCTTATCAATAAAATAGTTCAAGACTTCATCTAATTGCAAACCGAGACTTACAAGAAACCGAGTGAACAATTACCTACCGGATGCTAAGATCATAGGATTCCATATTCAAATCACCATAATATACCATACCATTGATGTTCAATACAACAAGGAGACAGGATCAACGACCAAATATATTCAGCAACGTTAGAATACCAACAAATATCAAGAACCAATAGATCGAATTTGTAAACATAACGAGGGCAGTGCATCACCCCGTCCTTCACCTCCCGGGCTCATGCCAAAGTCTGAGTCAGAATCATACATTATGGGAAACCTCGCATTGCCCGCCTTCCTCTACCGGGTATGTGCCGAGGTTCCCTACTCATTGCTCTTCCTCCTCTTCGAGCAATGAGTATTCACAACCGCAGAAAGTCTCACCCGTCCAACCCGAGATCTTGACTTCACCATAAACTTTCGGCGTGCCACACGAAGTAGTACCCGTACTATGGCGTACAATTCAAGGAACAAAACAACGAGTCCGAATCCAGAAAACAAACCGATGTACCGATATAGTAATAAGGAATCGACTCAAGAGACGGAATGAAATACAAATCAAGATCGTTTAACTCCATTCAAGACCAAAAATATTTATATGAAAATATATATGTTCAAATCAATATGTAACAATTAACTATATAACTCACCGGGCAACCGTATAATACCGAAAAGCTCCAAAATTATCTCACAAAGCAAGTCCAAGCTACCACACTTCGATTGTTTCCAAAGCATCAAAATATGTCCTAATTACCCCTGGAGTAAATGCACAAAATCTCATAAGCAGCCAATATAAGAAACTGTTTTGCCCATTTTAAACTCGGATTCATGCCTTGATCATAAAATAAGAAAAACCTAGACTCAAATATCTAACTAAGAAAATTGACCTTAGTTCATTTGGATTTTTCTATGATTTTATACAGTTTTTCAAAGTCTGCACACTTTCAATGCATTCTTAAGTCAAAATTCTCATTTTCATACATCTTTCTCAAACCATTTCGATTCCAAACTATTCCAACTTCTGAATCTCAACTTAATATAACATATTTGACATAAACAATCAAAATCCAACCTTCATTTTAGCATTTATATTCTCTCCCAAATCATTGACTTGATCAAGTCAAAGTTCACATGATGAACTTGCTTAAATCTTGATAATCTCTTGAATCTAATGATCATTTCAAGCCATAAACACTAAAAAGCACTCATTTTATTCACTTAATATCAAACTCATATGAAACCCTAACTCTATCTCAACATGCAATCCATAAAACAAGAATGTCAACCAAGAACAAGTGCAAAAATAGATTATACCTTACTTGATGATCAAATTCTTCAAAAATCTTGTAGTTCCTCTTTGATTTGAGTTGAATCAAGCCTATGTGTGTGAAAATCGCACCTCTAATGTGTGTGTGAGTTCTGAACTTAGATGACATGAAAAATGGGCCAAAAACCCAATTTATTATGTTAAAACTCGAGTTGGGTCCGGTTGGCCCGGCTAGGTACCCATTTTGACTATCAACACTTAAAATATTCATAACTTTTCTCTCGGACCTCCGTTTTCTATGAGGTTTTCGCCTACACGTTCATAAAGAGATATTCTATATATCTAATAAAAATATTCCAGAAAAGATCTCCCAAAAATATCAGTTTTATGTATCTTTTCGACGTAAAATTTTCCCAAATCCTCTAATATATTCCTAAGAAGTATAATTCTAAAATTTCAAACCCAACTCCCACTAAATCATAGATTCTCTTTAACCTAAAATTAAATATACTTAGCAAATAATTTGTGCATATTAGAAATTGGATGTTACAAATACCTCCACCTTTTGAGGATTTCGTCCCCGAAATCACTGTTGTGAAAATAAAGATGGGTATTTTGCCTTCATCTCATCTTTACACTCCCACGTCCAATTTGGTCCCCGATGGTTTTTCCAGTTGATCAATACCAAGTCTACCTTCTTATTACGTAGTTTCACTTTTCTCTCGTTCAGAATTGATTTTGGTTCTTCAATGTATCTTAATTTCTCATCTACTTTGACTTCGGCT